AAATAGAGATCTGAAAATAGATATTCACCACGTAATGCTGCTCCATATTTAGTGCATGTTTTTTCTAAGGATGGGAATGTAGAGAATCTACATCCCATGGCACTAGGGAGAAAGTTGTTCCTCAATGAATGTAAAAACGTAGCATCTATTAAAAAATTGGGGAAAAATTTGATCGAAATAAATTTTAAATTTAGTTTCGATGTCAATAAATTCGTGGAAATGGAAGGTTTTTTACCGGATAACTGGATAGCATACATACCCAATTTTTAATTGTTCAGAACGGGTATTGTAAGGGGCGTATTGTTCGATTTGAATGTAGATGAGATAAAGGGCATTGCATGGCCCAATAATCCTTTACAAATAAATCACATAGAAAGACTTAAATTTAAAGACAGATTTAATAATCTAGAATTAAAAGACTCATCTTCAATTAAGATCGATTTTTTGTCCGAACGTCTTCCGGAATTCATTTATATTTGGAACATTAAATGTCGTGTTTATCCATTTATTAATAGAGTTAGGAAATGCTATAAATATTTGAGATGGGGCCACTCGGAAAGATTTTGCAAAAACAAAGAAACGACTGTATGTTTGATGTGCTGAGGGAATCACAAAACGGAAACATGTAACAGTGAAGCTATTACACGTAATAATTGTAAGGGCTGCCATGATCACTTTGATACGAGCTGTCCGGTATTTAAATACCATAATATTATAAATATGGTTAGAGCTTATTGTAACGTAAACACATATAACGCGAAAAGTATGATTCGCAGTAGAAATATCACAGATTGTAATTAAGTTAGAGAAAACTTTAAATCTCACGCGTATTTGAGTTGGTATAATTTAGAGGAGCATTTAAATAGTAATAACAGGAATATTAATAAAAATTTTAAAAAACCTCCCAACAAAAAGCACATTTTTTAAAACCATTATTCATTCAGAATAACCAAGATGAAAAATTGATTACATCACTTCCTCATACAGCTATGGAAGTGAATTCAGACTCACTGGTACCATCTGTATAATCGATACAGTCGCCGGGGAGGGCAATGTATGCTAGCGACCTACCTGATCGAGGTGTGCCTCAGTCAGAGGGGGGCGCATCGCGGCGTGGTTCACATATGAATGAATTATGCTCTTCGGAAGTCCGGAATGCACTGGCGAGTGGAGATGAATTGATTGACATTAATAACCAAACGTCCGAGTTTAAAAACATAATCGATAAAATAATTAACTTATATGAAGGATTGATCGGAACAATGAAGCCTTGTTTGAATATATTGAAACAATTTAAAAAATTAATAATTGATGAAACGTGGATGATGCTAAGGTCTCCTCGATTGTAATTTATGTTAAATGAACAAAGTCTTTCAGTGGAATTGTAGAGGTATTCTCGGCAAATTTAACGAATTATCCAACAGTATTCTAGAATATGATATTGTTTGCTTGCAGGAGACCTGGCTCAAACCAGATCATCGGATCGGACTTACAGGTTATAAGATAACTAGGAGTGATAGGTGTGGTATGAGAAGCGGTGGTGGTACCGCTGTGATATGTAGAAATAGCTTGGATTCATTACAGGTTGGACATGTTCCCAAATGTTTCCATGGAGTTGAGATGACGGCTGTCTCGGTTAAGATTAAAAAGATTTTAGCTGATAGGATTTTGATCGTTTCACTCTATAGGCCACCGGATGTATCTCTTGATAGACATCAATGGCTGGACCTGTTTGAGATGCTCGAATCTAAGGATGAGTTTTCTAATATTATAATATGTGGCGATTTTAACGCTCAACATAGCCTGTGGGGATCTACCAGAGAGAATGGTGAGGGGGTTGTACTGTCGCAGGTGTTGGATCAATCTAATCTTATTTTTTTAAATGATAGAATGGGTACGAGAGTCTCAGCAAATAAGGATTTCATTAGTGTTCCAGATCTAATGCTGTTTTATTCTAATTTGATATATCCTACATGGTATGTCTTAGACAATCCGATGGGAAGTGATCATCTCCCAATAGTTGTACAACTTTCTAATAACCCATCGAAACATAACAGTTTTTTAGATCCTACTCCGTGTAGAGAAAGATTGAACTTTAAAAACTTTGATCCAAAAATGTTCTCTAATATTTGTGTGAAGCTGTTCTCGTCATTTCCAGAACAATTTCCAAATGGTGCTAGTATGTACGCATGGTTTAAGATAGTTATGGCTGCAGTTCTTCAAGCGGGGGCAATCAAACATGTTGGCTCAAACTCATTTGAAATTTTTGATGACAAAAAACAGGAAGTAATTCATCGTAATATCAAAACCCCCAAAAAAGTCAGATCTTGTAGACCGTGGTGGGACAAAGAATGTCAAGAGGCATTAAACACGAGGAAAATAGCATATAACAATTTTAAATTAGTCCTTCACGAGAAATCTTAGCTGAGTACAGGAGATGCGCAAACCAACCTAAAAAAACCATTAAGAAGCGGAAAAAAACTAACTTCCACTCATTTATAGAAGGCTTGGATATGAACAGAAACCCGAGGAAATTTTGGGAGGCAATAATTATTGACTTAAGTCGTTTTAAGAAAAGCTCGTATTTCAATGGCGATAGCCCGGTGAAGATAGATAAAGATATAAGAATTAGCGAATATTTCCCCACAGAGTGGGTACCAGAGAAATTTGAGAAGGTTGTGGAGTCTCCATGTGCGAGTTAATTTGATGCTCCTTTCTTGTCGTCAGATATCAGAACACATATCATGTCTGCAAAATCAACAAATGCGCCAGATCCTGATTTGGTGGGCAATTAGTATGTGCTCAAGTCGTTACCTGATATTGAAGTGAACATCCTCACAAGAATTTTTAATGTAATAGTACAAGATAATTCTTATCCTTCATCTTGGAAGGAATTTAACCCATTAACGCCTGAAATCCACGAAATTATACCATGAATTTGTGCTAATAGATTTCAATGAAATCGATATAAATTGTCAATGAAACCAATGTTTCTAGATGGTTTCGGGATCGCTCTACAAGATTCCGTAATCAGATTTTGATATAATTCATCAGGAAATCCAATATGGCGGCATTTGAGTAAAAAGTTACCGAAAATTAAACTTTTTTTTTTTTAAATCAATATTTCTTCCAGAAGACGTTATTTAGACACGAAAAAAAGAGGCACAAAATGGCACAAGCATATTGAACTTTCGAAATGTGTCTTTGTGCAAATATGAAATTCATAATGGCGGCTTCAAAATGGCGTTTATTTCATATTATGGAGGATAAAACTCGAACTTGTTAAAAAAATCAATGAAACTTGGTAATAGGGGGTTTTCTGGGTCGCAGATTACGAATTCGCTATCGATTTTTTGAAATTCAAAATGGCGGACCCAATATGGCGACTAAAACCTAAATTTTTTTTACCTATTTCATGACACTCGGTGATAGGGGGCTTTTTGGGTTGCTAATTACGAATTCCCTATCGATTTTTTAAAATTCAAAATGGCGGACCCAATATGGCGACTAAAAGCTAAAAATTTTTCACCTACTTCATAGCACTCGGCTATAGGGGGTTTATGAGGTCGCCGATTACGAATTCGGTATCAATTTTTGAAAATTCAAAATGGCAGACCCAATATGGCGACTAAGATCTAAAAATTTTTTTACCTATTTTATGACACTAGGTGGCAGGGGGTTTTGGGGTCGCTGATTACGAATTATTATTAAACTTATATGTTTTTAACAATACAAAACTAAGAAGGGCAAAGAGCCAAATAAATCTATCGAAAAATATTAAATATATAAAATTTAATAAAACGCTTTAATAATTACAAAAAGACAAACGTTTCGACACCGATCGGGTCATTATCAATGTTACAATTAATAAAGTTAACATAAAAAATGAACGCATTCTTCTTCCATTAAAAATTGATCCTAATAGAAATTATATAAATTAATGAAATTAACAGCAATAAAGATTAATTAATAAAAATAAAAACTCTATTACCTTATCAAAAATACAAAAGAAGCAACAAGTCCATAATTAAAATTCATCGAAGTCAATTAATATAAAATATATTTGAAAACTGTAAGTCATTTTGCGGTATCTTATCACTATGATGTCAAAAAAGGTAATGTAGTTGAAAGTCACAAGCGAAGAAAAGGAGAAAACAACAAGGAAGGAACATTTAAGAAAAGGAAAGGGAATGTATCATATTGGTGTATATCTTGGGCAATGACTTGGTGTCATTTTGTTTATTTATGTCATGTGTCTGTTTTTTAATGTGAACCATCTCAGATATTAATCTTTTTCTGTAAGAAGGTTCTATATCCAAAATCTCAACATTGTTCCATTTAAAATTATGATTCAATTTTAATCTGTGGTCAGTTACCACAGAAGGAGATTTGGAACCTTTGTTAATATCCGAGACATGTTCATGTAGTCTTGTTTTTAATTGTCTCTTAATTTGTCCTACATAGCTAGCTTCACAATTCTCACAGGATATTTTATATACAACATTTTGATTGTGTGTGTAATCCAACTTATCTTTACCTCTTGTAATGTAATTTTTTAATGTATTCGGAATAGTATAAGCAAGCTTGCAGTGTAACATTAGCAACAGATTTAAACTTTTCAGAAACATTGTTAATAAAAGGAATAGCGAAAAATTTATCTGGAATATTATTATTATTAGAATTAATATTATTAATATGGTATTTTAACCTATTGTGAATTGTAAAAAATATAAATTGAAGAGGATATCCATTTTGTAAAAAAATATTAATGGCATCTACTAAATTATTTCTTTGAAAAGTTGGATGACACACTCGTAAAATTTTATCCACAACACCATATATAACACCTCTTTTATGACACGTAGGATGATGAGAATGAAAATTAAGGTATCTTCCTGACAAAGTGGATTTGTGATAGCAATCAAAAATCAAACTACTCTCCTTTACAATAATAATCTGACGGCAACATCTCCCTGAGTTCCGCAGGAACGCTTCTAGCATCACAAAAACCGTGTAATTGTATGTTCTGACAGTCGGAGACCAATATTCTCAAAGGAGATCTCATCCATCGCTTCCCATTGTCTCGTAAACTGTGACCATTGGGTGTGAATGCTTTGTGGAACGGATTCGTCCCACTGCAATCCGGACCGCCACAAGTCTTGAATCAATTTTTTAACATACATTATTACCGGGCCTAATAAACCTAATGGATCATATATTTTCGCAATCTCAGATAAAATGTATCTCTTTGTTAATATTTCTATGATCTTGATTGGATTAGCCGAGTAATATATTCTGTCGTCACGCGTGCTCCACGTTACGCCAAGTGTTTTTAAAGCTCGATTTTCGTCCAATATCAGATTCGCGTGCAATACATTAGAGGCCAAATCGCTAACAATGCGTTCGTCGTTCGATGCCCATTGTCTGATAATAAAACCTCGAGCCAATAACGCAATAATCTCGTCTCGAACTGCACGCGCTTCATATACTGTATCGGCACCGGTCAACAAGTCATCCACATATAAATGCCGCTTGAAAATCTCCGCTGACCTAGGATATGTGTGGCACTCATCTTCCGCGAGTTTCTGAATCGTGCGAATTGCCAAAAACGGCGAGGAAGAAACGCCGAACGTAAACGTGTTTAATTGAAAGGTTTCCACCTTACCATCTACGCGCCAAAGGATACGCTGATAACATCGATCTTCTTCGTGTATCCACACTTGACGATACATCTTTTCAATATCCGCTGTCACAACATAGTTATAAAAACGGAACCGGAGTAAGTGTGATACTAATTTATTTTGGATGGTTGGTCCTACCATTAATAAATCATTCAAGGATTTCCCAATATTTGTTTTCGCGGATGCATCGAAAACCACCCTCACCTTAGTGGTATTACTCGCGTCTTTGATTACCGCGTGGTGCGGCATGTAGTACCCCTTTTCCGCAGAATCACTAACACGGGACATGTGCCCTAATTTTAAATACTCCTCTAACACTTGTATGAAGGCAGTTTTTAAGGTTATGTTAGTTTCTAGTTTGCGTTCTAAAGATAATAAACGTTTAAAAGCAATAGCTCGCGATTCGCCTATACATATGCTGGTCTATCTTGCGAAATGGTAACCGCACAATGTATCGGCCGTCCACGTTCCGTGAAACCGTTTTCAAAAAGTGTTCCTCGCATTCAATTTCTTCTTCCGATAGCGGTTTATCCAACGCGACCTCCTCAATTTCCCAAAATTTGGATAATAAATTCTCTAAGTTCGTTAAATGGCATACTAGATTTTTAGGATTCTGCGGGGATGGTCCTCCAGCTACCACCCAACCTAAACGCGTTTTTTGGAGATATAAATCGTAACCTTCCTTCGACAGGTTTATTTGACCGATTGCAAATAACGACAACGTCGCTCCGGCACCGATTAGTATTCACGATCGTTGCAAATAACGACAACGTCGCTCCGGCACCGATTAGTAGATCGACCGGACGTGGCAAGTGGAATTCCGGATCAGCCAATCGAATGTTTGAAGGCACGCTGATGGAACTGCGAGGGAAAACCTCGGCCGGCACTAAATCCGAAATCGCCGGTATAGTCAAACATGTTAATTGCTTGGAAAACCATCATAAATAGATTGTATAGTAATCTGAACCATACCTCTTGCTTGATACCGTGCTCATGCTATTAATTGCGCCGATCGATGACGAATGCTTAACTACTGGCACGTCTAAGCGTTTCATAATCGTTTCTGAAATAAAATTAGCACTAGCGCATGTGTCTAACAAAACATGACATTTGATTGGTGAACGTTTGCGATTATGTATGTATACCAGTGCGCTCGTCATCAACTGCGGAGCGGAAATATTTAATGTCGCGAGACTCGTCGCTTTGCAACCGGTCGTTGCGATTTGTCAATCCGTGCTTACAGAAACAGTTTTAGAAGCGTTTAACTTATTCGCGCCTGGATAATCGTTTTTGTGCAGCAGGGTATTGTGCCGTTTCTGGCATACTGAACAGTTCGAAAACTTACAAGCGAAACCCGGATGTGATCGTAGACAATTATAACAAACTCGCGCTCTCTTCACTACTTCGATACGTTTATCCACGGGAAGTTCCTTGAACTTGACGCATGAGTATAAAGGATGACGCTTCGTTTTGCACACTACGCAATCACGCGATGTGCTCAAAGTGAACGCTTGATTCGCGGATTGATTCCGTTTCTTCTTTGCCGAGGGCTCGTCTCCCTTTTTCTCTGAATCTAATGCCTTTGCCCTTTCTCGCTTTGACGCGCAAACAGCTAACTTGTAGAGAAATTCGTACATTTGGTCAGCTTTGGGAAATTCGTCTTTGACGAGACTCATCTCCCAACGCTGTAACGCGGACCTCGGGAGTTTGCTCTCCGAAAAATGTACTATCGTTTCAGGGCTGACGGAAACCTCTAACGCCTTTAACGAAACAACATGTTGTTGCGCATCATCCGCGAGTTTAGAAAAACCGCTTGTAGATTCCCTTTCCAACGTAGGCATATTCAGAATCAACGAAAGGTGCCGCGAAATAAGTACCCGCTTGACCTCATACGAACGTTCAAGCAGCTCCCATGCTTGACTGTAATTAACGCCGTCTATCTCAAATACGCGTATCTTGCCGGCGGCACAGTATATACAGTAGCGCAACTCTCTGTCGGCACCTTTGATGTTAGTGTTGCCTAAAATGGAGTGCGCATGCGCGAAATAGGCGAAGTACTAGACTGTGCTTTTTCTCTTTTCATCCTTCTTTCGCTCTGTCAAAACGCACTAGCACAGTATATGTAGTAACAATGCGCATGCGCGAAATAAATAGGTTGCCCTATCTCATTTTCTCCTTCTTTATTGCTCTCTCTTTATTCAATGTTCCCTTTAAACAATTCATTAATAAAAAATTTCCCTTTTTTAATATTTTAACATACAATATTTTTGTATTATTGTATAAGTATATATATAATATATAGTATGTCTTGGCATAATTATTATCAAAATTATTTCAGTATATGATATTATTTATTAATTTAAATTATCTTCTAAATATATTACATTTTTTATTTGTTGTATTTTATATTTATTTTTTTGCACACACATTATATATATAATATATAATATATATTATAAATTTTTTTTTATATCAACTTTCTGATAATATGTATATACATAGCATATATTTACAAATTTACAATTATATAATATTTCTCTACATAAATATATATTTTTCAGATAATTTAATATTTTTCTTAATTATTTTACATTTATTTCTTTATTTACCAATATATTTACAATTTATTTGTATTAATTTCCATTAAGTTTAGATTATTTTATTGCATTAGTACATTTATTCGTGTCTCATTCTCCAACATGCTCCTACAATAGTTCTTACTCACTTCAATGCATTCATTGGAGTGTGACGCAAATAAATCTAGGTTAATCTAGTGCGTTTTGACAGAGCGAAAGAAGGATGAAAAGAGAAAGAGCACAGTCTAGTACTTCGCCTATTTCGC